TTATTATTATTATTATTATTATTATTATTATTATTATTAATATATTCTCCGTAAGCATCTCCTCGCCTATAGTTTCACTTCAATTCCCAGAATGGCCAGAGTTTGAAATTAACAAAAAAAAGATGTAAAGTTACATTTGTTAAGATATTGACACCGAACAATTGCAGCAGATACTGTTAATTTAAACACTCTTGTTCAAATGGTCACACACGGGTGTTTCATCAGCAGATTCAAAATGTTTTTTTTTTCTAGAGCAGTGTAAGAGTTATAATTCGTAATTTACCGCTATTCTGGATGTAATTCTTATAGTGCTCCCCGTGTAATCCTGTTCCGTGTAGTAAATGTAAATACGACGACACCTAACCAATATACCTATTTTAAAATGCTTCTTAGTAAATCCCATACTTCAGTATTTTACTAATAATTCTGCGGTAAATCCTTGACATATTTGTCCAGCTTCACCTGGCCGCTTCACATTGTACGTACATCAGTATATATATTGAAAAAGATTGAAGATCTGCATGAATTAGATGTAGCATGATCACTCTTCAGAACTGGTAATAATTCTCAATTATCTTCTTCATGGTCATTAGTTTAGGTTTTCTTTTCGTTCCTATTTTTTTAAATTTCAGTAACAATTGTAGAGAGTTAGCCGAATGAGAAAAAACGCGAAGAAATTAACCGGTGACTTTTTTTTTATCCCCATTTCCTATTCCCCACTGCTGTTTTTAGACAGGCTAGACTCGTCATTTAAATCATTAGAACTTTGAAAATTGTAAAAGAAATCTTGCTTAATGAACACAACGCATTCAATAGCCCACTTATAATGATTATCAATACTGGTGTGCCCGGAGATTGAGTTCTTTAGCCTAACTATCTGAGGCAGGTCAACAGATTGATGTATGATAATTCAATCTGTAGTTACAATTTTAACCAATAGAATAGATTTATTTCCTCGATGAAATCAAACGTGAAAAAAGCTCTCGCTAATGAGCCAACGACAACGTCAAACTTTAAATTTAAGGGGATTCTAATCTCTGCGACCTCAAAGAACTGCTCAGATTAAAGGCAGAAACTGATCGAGGCGCGGTTTCGTCAAATTGACCATTGCGCGCTATAAATGGAAAAAGCAAATATTTCTGTCAACCCGAGTCTTTATTATTCCCTATCACCTTTTAACGTAGCATTGGTTGTGCTTTACTCGATCATCGTGGTCGTAGACCTCGCAGGGAACAGCTTAGTCATCGCCATTGTGTGTAAAACAAGGTCCATGTTTACCCCGACGAACATCTTGTTGGCGAACGTTGCGGCGACAGACATCATCTCACTGTTGGTGTCCAATACCTTTAGTGATTAGCCTTTCTGGTACAAACATCTCTGGAGAAACAGCAGACTACATTTGCAAATTCTCAGTACTGGATACTCAGTAACGTGTGTTGCTGTTCCGGCAACTTTCCTGAGTTTGATGATTTTAGCGGTTGAGAGGTTCCATACCATCGTCAAACCCTTTACCTCTGCATTGGCGCTAACGAACAACCGTATGGACTTTGTTACTGCTTTTATCTGGATCACGGCGGCGGCCCTTTCCTTGCCGGGGTTTATTTATAGTGAATACGATGAACAGTTAGGAAGGTGCCTGGATCCTTGGACTCTTGAGAAAGCAGGTTCAGTGCAATGGCTTTTTGTTATGCAATTGCATAGGTCAGTCCTAAAGCAGAAACAGTTACAAGTTTCTCTTTACCAACATCTCGAAATATCTTTCCTTTAGGTACATCCAGCGAAAATTCTATATAGTCGTTCATCATGCTGGATTAACCGAAATTGAAGACTTTTTTCAGTTTTTTCAAGGTAACAGGTTCGAATTGACGAATTCTGCAGCTGTTCAAAATTAAAACAAACTTCTTAAACCACTACGGTCTATGCCACGCAGTCCCTCAAAGGTGGGTCAACATTCTCAAAGGAAATGTTACAGAACCTTTGGAAAAACGATAAAATAAGATATCTTTAAATAAACCCTCTTGCAAATAGGCAACTAAATTATTTGTTAAAAGTACATTCGTTAAGCCTACAGCTAAACGAAGGATGAAAGAAGCTAATCTGAAGATACAATACAACTCATTTATAAGTTTATAGTCTTCCTTTTAATGTTACCAAAGACACTAGACTCACCATTTTCCACTACAAGATAATTCATCACATTATACGTACCCACAAATTCCGGCGACACACTTTAGAGATTCTAGCAACGAACATAACAAATGTCACCTTTGTGGCGAAAGGTAAACGTTAACCCATCTTTTCCAGTGTTACCTGTTCTAAAGCTCAGCTTTTTTGGTCTCTCTTTACTAATTGGTGGAACTCCAGAAACGGAGATACGATCTATCTCGATCTTGATGAAAATAAAATAGTATACGGAACAATAATATAGGAAAGCCACCTATTGTAGCTACCTACATGCAAGTAATGTGAGATGTTAATAAATTGTAAATAGTGTTTGTATCGAAAGTTGTGTTAGCTATCGTTAAATCGTAAGTTATGTTAGCACTGTAAGTCAAGAGAACAGGATCGTAATCTCTTGTGTAAGCTGAGTAAGTAATTTTTGTTTTGTGATGTAACGTTATTGTTGCAATAAAAAAAAGGTCGTTCATCAGCCTTTTGTAAAGGAAACAACAAGTCGTATTCATACTAGAAAGAGAAAAGCTGACTCCGTCTTATCATGACGAAATCCCCGTTTCCCCACCACCCCAATAAACAAGAAAAACTAACTGAGGAACCGCAACTCGAAAGAAGTCAGTTACATTTTCTCAGTTCCGATCCGTTAAAGGGGGTAAAAATTTTGCTGTACTCCATGTCTGATCAAGTTTTTATGCACACTGAGTGCCTTAAATTCTCAGCGGCCGTGGCCAATACCGTTTGCTACAGTGTGGGCTTCATGCGGTTCAGTGAAAAACTTGAAAATAGATTTTTCGATTGCTCTTATTGCGAGCCAATCTGTCCGATCTCGAGCCTGCCGCACCAAAGGTGCACAAATGCTCCATCTCAGTGCGAGATGTTTGACTTTGTTTGGCAGTTTGGGAAGATTTACGATCAGTTTTAGGAGGTAGAAATTGTGCCTTATCTTATTTTCACAGAGTACTGCTTGTTGCCTGTTCGCTTTTTCTACTCCGTGATTTCACTCGCTAAAATCGCTTCAAATGAACAGAAAAAGCGTACAGAGAACAAGCAATACTCTGTGGACTCTGAGGGCCCCAAGTTTATCAGTAACTTAAGTTACTGTCACGGGTCACCCTCATTAAATAAAGTCTTTCACTTCACTTCACTTCATCTTCATTAACAGCTTTCTAGTATTACCACCTCAATCTTAAAACTGATCGTAAAGATTCTCCCAAAATCTTGTAATTGGAGCTTTAATTTTGCGTGATTGCTATTATAGCTCATTACGCATGATCATTGCTCACAGCTTGAGCTTGGGCAACCTGCGCAAGCTAATTATTTACGACATTACGACACCGTAGTGAATGTGCAGTGACCTGAAATGAAAACGATTACTTCATCCGAATCAGCAGATTAAGAAGAGGCCACATCACTGTCATCTTATACAGGTACAAATTGTCATTATAAGCATTATATTTATATAAGATCAGGGAAATCCACTGAAGTTTGTAAAACTTTGTCTGTCTGTTTTAAAAAAGGTTCTCATTAAATGACAGCATTGTTTTGACCTGATTTGCATCTGGAGTGTTTGTTTCTTTTCCCTAGGGAGACAACGAACAAGCAATTAGGCCGTAACGACCGGTCGAGCAACAAAAACATGGTCTAATAGATTTGTTCCTATCATCATCACGAGATATTGTCTCCTGCAATGAAGAAGACAGCGAAGGAAGGTGTAAAACGGGGAAAGAACAGGGCTCCTCATAAGAAAGTAGCGCCCGCTGCTGCAATAACAAACGAGAAAAACTGTACGCCGGCGGACGTGGTCGTTAGTCAGAAAGCGTTACGTACCACAGCAAACAGGTTTGACAAAGAGCAAGATGTCACAGCGAAAAAGATCGCCAATGGACGACTTCCTCCATTAGTGCCTCCTGTTAAAATATTACCACAAAAGAATAACGACATTGAACTTAACGAACGCCAGAATGCCAAGAAAAACCATAAGCTTGTTGACACGCCAGAAGTTGAATCAGGGAAACTTCCCATTTTTGATGAAACTCCTTCGCGAACATCGAGTCCAGCGACGAGGAGAAGGGACGCAAATATGACTAACTATGAGAGAATGCTACAACGGGAGAAGAACAGAGGCAGAAAGATAAGTGCTGGAACTAATTACAACATACTTCAAAGCGAAACAGAGGATCAAGATGGTCAATCAGTTGAAGGATCGACTCTGGTTGTTGCGGACGAAACCCAAATTAATCGGTCGAATCTGTCGAATGCTTCGTTACGAAGTCGTTCTTCAGCGAAGCACGACCCGAACTATGCTTTACTGCAGTATTTCGCTAAGCTCTCTAGCTCTGCTGATGTGGACGATTCCTTGGACTTAGAGCATGTTCAATCTCTGTTACGTGAAGGGGCTTCCGTGAACACGTGTGACCGATTCGGTCAAACACTGCTCCACGAAGTGTCGAAGACTTGGGGAACAGATGTCGCTCAGTTTTTTATTGACCAAGGTAACTATATTTGATTTAAGGAATACAAAATTTTAACTTGGCTGTTTAACAGTAAATTAAAGTTGTTACTCCATGATTGTTGAAATCAATTTTATTTATCCTATCAACTGCTGCCCGGTGAGGTATACCACCCTGGGTGTGAGAGCAGGACCCCTGTCATCTTTTGCTCCTGAGTGTTCTCCAGGTTTTCCCCCAGCAAAAAGCTGCTTGCAGGCTTATTAGGCACTTTCACTGTCCACAATTTCACCCAATATAAGAGTTTAGCAGGCTTGCTATAAATTGACTAACTACGAAAATTTTAATTACTTAAGCTTTGATTGGTATTTCATTTCA